TGATTATTTTTATTTTCTAAAAAGTGAAGTATATCATTAGCTATTTAATATGGTCATTTAGCAGTGCAAATTTCAAGATATTTTGAAAATCTTTGACAGAGAAATGTCAGTTCCTTATAATGTCTGTACGTAGCAGACACATAATTTTAAATTGCAATTCCAGTGGAAGTATTTTGTACAAACAACTGATGGAAAATAATACATATAATTGTAGAAATAACAGCTAAATGACCATTATTAAAGCCTAGTTATTGGTTACACACAGGAACACTTAAGGACATTCCAAGATTTTTTGATGGCTGGCAAAAAAAATGAAAATGAAAATGAAAAAGACTAAATGAACTGTGACTGAAGTTGCTGAGTTCCAATGAACTGTTCAAATACATTTTACTAAAAACAAGGCAAATCACTTTTATCCAAGAATACAAAAAAGTCAGGAAAGTAAAAATATTATGATATACTGACCATCAAATAATTGGCAATGTATATAGGAAGCATAATATTTTTTTTCCTTATAGGCTTCTTATGTATATACATATACATGTAATTTTTCTTTCTCTGTTTGTTTCTTTTTTTTTCTTTTTTTTTTTTTTTTTTTACATACAGAAACGCAGAGAAACAGAAAGAGCAGAATCACACATTTACACACATGCACACTGCCTCACAATCACATATCCTGATGTGAGAAATGATATTACCTTCCGTTTTCCTATTCTTTATTCCACATTCTCTACAATTAAAACTTACTGACAATAAAATGGTGCTACAGTGCAATTATCAAATAAAGGAACTCCATATATAAAACACACATCCCAGAATAGGCATGAATAGTACATAACACTAATAATATTCTTAATCTACGTAAATACTTACAACTACTATCCTTATTGCTATAATATCATTCTACAGCCTATCAGTGAAGCAGTTTCCCATTTTTTGAAAGATATATATCAATAAAGAAAAACAGAAAGAAAGAAAAAGAAAAAAAAAACACGAAAATCACACTACTCATTGGTGATTTCGACAGTTCAATCGCCCGAGGTACTCTACAAAAGACACCTGATATATTGACCTTAATGACTCCCATAGATCTTGAGTTACTGGCTTTACCTCCTTCCGTTAAAGCGACCTTCCTCTACCGATCAAGAAGGAGGAGGAGGAAGAGGAGGAGAAGGGGGAGGAAGAGGAAGAAGAGGAGGAGGGGGAGGAGGATGGAGGATGAGGAAGAGAAGAAGAGGAAGAAGAGGAAGAAGAAGAAGAAGAAGAAGGAGGAGAAAGAAAAGGAAAAGGAAAAGGAGAAGGAGAAGGAGGAGGAGGAGGAGAAGGAGGAGAAAGAGAAGGAGGAATAGGAGAAGGAGAAGGAGAAGAAGAAAGGGAAAAAAGGAAAGAAAAAGAAAAAGAAGGGGAAGAAAAGAAAAGAAAAAAAACAACGCTGTTTTTCAAAGAACATGGTCAGGTAATAATAGTAATGTTTTTTTTTTCCAACTGACTATTCTCTAAATTGCAACTTCATCATTTACAGGCTTTTTCGCGAATTAAACAGATCAAGAAAGTATTTTCCTACCCTATTAATATTCCTCTATACTATAGTTTTCACGATTTGAAAAAAAAGCCTTTCCGCCCGCCTCCGTACGCCATTTTTTCACGATTTGAAAAAAAAAATCTTTCCCGCCTACCTCCTTCCGCCACTTTTTTTTCACTATTTGAAAAAAAAAAAATCCGCCCACCTCCTTCGCCATTTCTTTTACTATTTAAAAAAAAATGCTTTCCCGCCTACCTCCTTCCGCCATTTTTTTTACTATTTGAATAAAAAAGCCTTCCCGCCCACCTCCGTACGCCATTTCTTTCACGATTTAAGCAAATCAAACCACCAGCTTCACTCGGTACGATTATATTTGGCGAACTGGTTGTGGCTTTCATAGTGATCCCTTATGATCCACACGACGAAGACGAAGGTCACAATGACATCGAGGAGCAAGGTCACGCAGATCCCGGCGGCGTTGATGGCCCTCGAGCGGCAGGTACTCAAGGGCTGCTTCTGTCCTTGGGATTTCTCCGTCCACGCCACCTTCAGCGCGTTCATGGGTCCTCCTCTGGCGTCGACTACCATCAAGTCCTCCTGCCTGTCCCCCGGCGCCATGCTCCTGCCGATGGAGCTGTGCATGAAGAACACGATGCTCACCCTCAGGATGCAGTAGAAGAAGAAGAAATCGACGCACTTGGGCACCGGGGAGCTCGGCACGCTGGACGACATCTGCGAGAAGAGGGAAGCGATGACGATGAGGAGGGAGAGCGTGACGGTGATTCTGTCGGTGAAGTCGTCGAGGTTGAAGTGCGTGAGCGTGAGCTGCGAGAGAGCGCACAGGATGATGCACGGCAGGAACGTCGTCAGCAGGAAGGCCTCAAACCTCCTGACGAAGAGGAGTTTGAGCGTCAGCACGTTCCGGTTCCGGTAGTCGAAGGTGTACCGCAGTTCCGAAACGGAGTAAATCGAGATCGTCGACTTGTTTCCGTAGACGCGAATGCCTCCGCTTGAAGCATTCCACTCCGGCTGGCAACCCTGGAAAGGCTGGAGGTGCAGCTCCATGTCGCACGTCTGGGTGTCGAAGGGGAAGGCGAAGAAGTCGTACTGGCACGAGAAAGCGAACAGGTATTTGATCGTCCGGCTGATCACGACATCCGTGCCGTTGTGTTTCATCGCTGAGAAAAAAAGGAATCCCCAACTTTAATTGCATATTTAATTATCCATACAATAGTTACATACTAAATATAGCAACAGTACAGGTTTTAGGCTTATGCAGAGAAAGACATGATTCGTTAGTAGATGGTACTATGATTATATGATACAGAATGACGGTTTTTATTTGATATGAAATTAAATGGCAGATTCAGAAAAAAAATCTAAAATAAAATCTAGTAATTCTAGCTAAACAGTAGGAGTTTGATTTAAAAAAACAAAAAAAAATCTACTATTTCCTTTTTCCATTATAATTAGCCTATCTATATTTCATGCATATTATAGAAAAATAAAATTCTAAAGATATTTTTTGCGATTTTTTTTAATTAATAAGGACCTACACATTTAGAAAATGGTTGATTAGGTAATCTTAACTAAATACCAATTATTTCCATGAAATCATTAACAATGCTAATAAGTTACAATGAAATTGCAATTAGTAGTAAATAAGTTTACCTAAAAGAAAGTGTACGAAACAATTATATATTTTTAATTGTATTTAATTTCGAATTAACAGAAAACGCATTACATACACGTTTCTTTTTCTTTAACGTAATTATCTGATAATTATCCATGGATATGTTTGTATGAATTAGCATTTTTATTGTATATGGATTTAATGTATGCAATTCTGTGTATGTGTGTGTGTGTGTGTGTGTGAGAGAGAGAGAGAGAGAGAGAGAGAGAGAGAGAGAGAGAGAGAGAGAGAGAGAGAGAGAGAGAAAGAGAGAGGGGGAGAGAAGGAGAGAGTGAGAGAAAGAGAGAGGGGGAGAGGGGGAGAGAAGGAGAGAGGACAGAAGGACAGAAGGACAGAAGGACAGAAGGACAGAAGGAGAGAGGGAGAGAGAAGGAGAGAAGGAGAGAGGGAGAGAGAAGGAGAGAGGAGAGGGAGAGAGAAGGAGAGAGGAGAGAGAGAGGGAGAGAGAAGGAGAGAGGGAGAGAGAAGGAGAGAGTGAGAGAAAGAGAGAGGGGGAGAGGGGGAGAGAAGGAGAGAGGGAGAGAGAAGAAGAGAGAGAGAGAGAAGGAGAGAGAGAGAGAGAAGGAGAGAGGGAGATAGAAGGAGAGAGGGAGATAGGAGAGAGGGAGAGAGAGGGAGAGAGGGAGAGAGAGAGAGAGAGAGAGAGAGAGAGAGAGAGAGAGAGAGAGAGAGAGGGAGGGAGGGAGGGAGGGAGGGAGGGAGGGGAGGGAGGGAAGAGAGAGAGAGAGAGAGAGAGAGAGAGAGAGAGAGAGGGAGGGAGGGAGGGAGGGAGGGAGGGAGGGAGGGGGAGAGAGAGAGAGAGAGAGAGAGAGAGAGAGAGAAAGAGAAGAGAGAGAGAGAGAGAGAGAGAGAGAGAGAGAGAGAGAGAGAGAGAGAGAGAGAGAGAGAGAGAGAGAGAGAGAGAGAGAGAAAGAGAGAGGGAGAGAAGGAGAGAGGGAGATAGAAGGAGAGAGGGAGAGAGAAGGAGAGAAGGAGAGAGGGAGATAGAAGGAGAGAGAGAGAGAGAGAGAGAGAGAGAGAGAGAGAGAGAGAGAGAGAGAGAGAGAGAGAGAGAGAGAGAGAGAGAGAGAGAGAGAGAGAGAGAGAGAGAGAGAGCCGACCTTCATAGCTGTTGAGTGTCCCCTGCGTGCCGTTGCTCAGCGCCTTCACCGTGTAGAGCTCCTGCAGCGACGACTTGGTCCTCAGGCTGAGGTTGTCCTGGTACCTGGCGTTCAGGAACTCGATGTTGGGCAGCCACAGCTGACTCACGATGTCCTCGTGAAGAACCGTCCGCGAGCTGCCCAGGTTGATGAAGAGGAGGCGGTGGTCGGTCCAGGTGGTGTTGATGGAGAGGATGGCCTCGAACTCGTTCTTGGCGAGGATGACCTCCCGCACCCCGTCGAGAGCCACGTCCACGGAGACGACGGGCTGCGCCTCGGGGCACACCATGCTCCAGTAGGTGGAGGGCAGCTCGGCCATCATGACGCAGCTGCTGCCCTCGTCGCTCTCGTCGGGGCAGTCGTGGAGGCCGTCGCACCGCTTCTTGAGGTCGATGCAGGTCCCTTCGTCGCAGGTGAAGAAGCCCTTCGGGCAGGTGGACAGCGCCGCCTTGAACTGCTTGCTGGTGGTCGAGCTGACCCACTCCCTGCGGCCGAGGATCTGGTGCTGGCTGCCGAGGACGGAGTACTTCTCGACCTTGCCCATCCGCCTGATGACGAAGCAGATGCTGTCGTTGCCGGGGCACGAGGCCTTCGCCAGCACCTCGCCCGACTCCGACTGCAGCATCAGCTGGCGCCGGTGCGAAAA